TATTTTTATTTTTAAAATCTAATGACCACTACTCATTTACATAAGAAAACATACAAGAGAAAGATGTATTTTGTGATTTGCATGCCTGTATTTCATTGCCACGCTTTACCAACTTTGACTTCATTCACCCAGATGGTCAGATTCTATTCCCTATAGGGCACTCAAGGAGAAAGTAGATATTTGGCAAAGCCAAGGGACATATTATGGAAGGGAAAGACCCTAACTGTGTGGTCACAGGCCAGTGGGCTTTTGTGTTCCAGGAGGTAGGGATCCCAAGGCAGGGCTTCTGCAGCCAGGCAGTGCTAGGGCAGGAAGGCAGTGACAAAGCAGAGCCTGCATAGGCAAGGAGTAACATGTGTGCATAGCACTTAGGTGATGTGAGGTAAAGGACAAAGAAAAAATCAAAATATGCTGTCATTTTGTAATTCCTCCCTTCCTCGTTTCTAAGGAGGAAGTATTCTCCTCAACTCTCCTTTGTAATGTGGAATTCAGGTTATGAGGGAAGGGAGAAACTTAAAGAAGCCATAGAGGCTCAGTTGATCTTTATAATAAAGAGACGAGGCTGAGAGGGATGGGAAAAAATAATTAAAAGGCTACTGTGAAAGAGTTTTGGAGAACTTAGTGTGGGTGAGGAAATAGAATTGGGGTAGCTAATATGTGTGGGAAATATTAAGACTTAGGGAGACGAGGAAGGAGAGTTTTAAAAAAGTGTTACTATGCATCTGGAATGGACTTCAGTGTTTTCTTAAGAGACTGCATTAAAGATTTCAGTTGCTTCTCATTTATGATGTGTATCTTGGACTGATTGCTCTTTGAATGCAATGCCACAGAAATCAGGTCACAGGCTGCTGCCCTGGGAGCTAGAAGGTATTTTATTCTAAGACTGGTAATGTAACATTTCTCAGAACTGGCATAAAGATTGTTTTAGTCATGAGGCTCTTTCTTCAAAGAAAATCATATATGACAAACATCATACATGAAGCTTTCATTTCAATGGAGGT